AATCATGTTCTTGTTATGGAAATTATCTCAACACGAAACGAGTGCAAGTTAAGTCATTCTTACGTTGTTTTATGATTGCCGAAGAAGATAACTGCGTGCGAATTTTATTTGCATTTCGTGCAATTTCCTGGAGAAATAAGATATAAATAAGTGCAATAACCGCGGCGGCCATCCGTCATATCGATGCACTGGATTATATTAATCGAAGCTGGCTGAATTAGAAAACTAGCGTAATTGAGTACAGCTTGAGGGGCGAAAGATGGATAGCAAATGCAGCAATATTTTAAAAACTTAATTTTCGCCATATGGCTTTTGCTGGCATTGGAAAACAATGTACTGCATGATCTCACTGAGAGCAATCGTTAGGTCGTAAACTTTTTATAGTTAGGTTGATTGGAAATTTTAATAAAACACTTGTCGATATAATGTTTAATAGTAAGCTTGAAACGGACGTATATAAATAGCGTGACTGATAAGCCAACCCAATTTATGATAAGGCTATGGGAAGTGGTGATAACCATAGCAAAAATACCGCCATTATTAATAATTGATTACTACACATGTAAAAGGTATAACTAAAATGAAGCTGAGTTTGTTCACTGACTACAGTGTTCGATAAAAAAGTATTTGAGCCTGAGCACTTAGTACCAAACCTGTTCCATATTTTGTTTTTGTATTATTTGTATTTATTTGTATTCTCTATTACAAATGACCAATGAATCTAAAACAATCAATGTGGTACGATTTAAAAAAGTATTTGTACAGATTAATCCAACACATAGTGATGTCATACTTTTCTTATGATTTGTTTAAGATTTTGTAAATCAGTGCTCGCTAAGCTGTCGACACAGGCACCTGGGTGTTTTTTTTTTCGGTGAGGGTCAACAATAGCCTGTTATTCGATAGCAATTATTATAAAGTTCGTTCGTTTCTGTCGTTGCCACGTTAGAAGCAAACAACTGGAGATGTCGGTGGATATAAAGCTGGATACACATTGTTTATTATTATTATAAGCATGATTTATCTGACAATATTTTGTCATAATGAATTAATGCATGAAAAAATTAAAATTAAAAATTAACAAATACGGCAATCTTTAAATAAAAACTCTTAGCGGTAATTTAAATCGAAGTAGGCATAAGCGTCATTACAGGCATAAGCCACGGTGCGGATATGTAGATTCGTTCATTCTATACTGTCGATTACGGGCTGCAAGTTACACTCACTCTTTCAGGCGCGTAAAAGTAAAGCTTTCCGAGTAATTCTGGGGAATCAGTTTCGCCGATAATGATTTTAGCAGCAAAGACAGCTTGCACAATGCGTCTTCTTCGTTCCTAATATCAATTTGAAGCAAATGACAACGACTCTCGTAAGGAGGCAAGTTAGCTCTATCATCCCAGGGAAAATACCAATGCGTATCGAACAAATTTTCTTTGCACAGTATTGAACCTAGCTATCCAGCTAGCTTGGTAAGGGCATCAGACGACTGCACTATACAGAAGACAACATATAAAGAAGACTGGCAACTATTCCAGCGTCATTGACATTTTTCAATAAATTGTAGTACTGTCTGATTAAAATGGCGTCTGAGACAAAATTGTTCAGAAAAGTAAAGTTATTCTGTGAAAAATTAAACACGGTAATTTTTTTGTTAGTAATTGTGAGTAAAAATATTCGGGTTTGATTGGTTACAATATCTCGATCATAGACTGTATGATATGATATGATGGGCTCGGTGACCTTAGAGTGACAGTTAGAGTTTTCGGAACAGAACATCATGAGTTTAATCTCTGGCCTATTCACATTCAAGATTCGTTGATCGCATTATTTATTAATATGCATACATTGTAATAACGATAACTCGAAAATCATTTAGTGATATATCGTGTTTTGCCTGTGTTTGCCTTGAGTGGCTCGGTTGAACTTGAATCTAACCTCCAAAATATACAACGCAGATTCAGTTCCATTGTTCGGTGTCGATTTTCATTGCCTCCCGGGAGCCCGGTTCTCCGAGTTCGGATGCTACACTTTCGGCGTGTAGTTCTATTGAGAGATCGGTCCGGTTGGTGAATTAGCCCAGGAACGTGTAGATAATGTGTCCGTTGCAAGTTTTGGTGGTGATTCGGTGGCCGACGTTGCCGTGAATCAGTAAGTTTTCCGCTTGCAAAAGTGCTCGGCTGCTGGTCCCTCGCCGGTGTCGGAGATTGCGAGCAATATGAACGATGCCTCGCTGGATACGCCCAAGACTGGACGGGTGGCCGCGAACTGTTCTTGGGGAAAGCACTACACGCGAACCATGGCAATGCAAGAAAATTTGTGTTCGTTAAAGGAAGTATTACGACAAAGGTGCATCACGTAATGAGATGCAAAGCTTAGAGAAAATCAAAACTACGGAACCCATGGATTGGAGGATCAAATTAACATGGTGACCCCAGTCCAAATACATTTTACAATTTAAAAACATAAACTAAATACGTGCCAGGTTTGAAAAGAATATTTTCGATCCTGGAAGCGTGTATGTAAGACCAATATGCATTTGATAATGGTAAAAAGGTAAATGAATCATTAAGCAATGACGATGTTCCTTAATATTTAAGTAAAAAAAATCTCCTAAAAATAGATCGGGTTGCTCCTTAAATGATTGATCAAAATACGTTAAAAATCTTAAAATGCTCAGTAAATATTTAAAGTACGCTCCCTAAAATAGAGAAAACTGTACATTAAGCATTTGAAAATGCTCCTTAGTATGCACCGCTTAGCACCATTTTTAAGTGTAATTGTACCATATATCATCGGAAAAGCTGCTGTAGAAAGGTTAATAAGTACCATGAAATCAGCTGAAATGTTCAGTAAAAATGCACAAATGCACAAAATGATTTACTGAACATTTCATCTGATTTCATGGTACTTATTAACCTTTCTACAGCAGCTTTTCCGATGATATATGGTACAATTATACTTCAAAATGGTGCAAAGCAGTGCATACTAAGGAGCATTTTCAAATGCTTAATGTACAGTTTTCTCTATTTTAGGGAGCGTACTTTAAATATTTACTGAGCATTTTAATATTTTTAATGTATTTTGATCAATCATTTAAGGAGCAACCCGATCTATTTTAAGGAGATTTTTTTTACTTATTAAGGATAATTTCATCTGTTTTATTGAGCAAAAGTAGGGCTGCCTTTCATAATGGTGATGCATACATGCGGGGCTTATTGTTAGTGATTGTAATCTCTGAATGGGCGTGAATCTCCAGACATTCTGAAATGGGTTGCTGAATCTGAAATAGAGCTATCACCTTCTAACTCCCGGACTAAAGCTGTCTACAATGACCATAAATGCGGCATTGTAGAGAGAGTTCTTCCATAATAACATTGCCGGACAGTGGGGGTTAGAGGGAATACACACACACACATGGTAATAACAATAACTCGATCATAATTGGCGTGTTTTGATTGCTTACTGAACAGAAGTCCGTGGGTTCAATCCCAAGCTCCTTCACGATATAGGATCGTTAATACATAAATTTCGTTATCCAAATCATATTGTTTACCAAAACGCATCCTGCTGGATACTCATCCCTTTTATCCAACATCCAAGTGATTCCTCGTGGAAGTGTCAACACATTCCTACCCATTCCTCTCTTGTCCTGCATTCGGATGTGGCCTGCGCTAGTATTGCCTTTTGTAAAGTATGAGATCATCAGTTCCTACACATTGAGGATGAATGCTAGTCCCAAGCATCGTCTATTGATTCTCTGTGTAATTACAGCTTACAACGATATCGTTTCGCAGCGCATTGACTCCACAGAACTTTTATCAAAATTAAATTTCCATGCACCATGCAACTCCGAAATCGAAATTTATTTGCCTTAAAACATCATCGCACAAATTATGCAAAATATGGGCCATTAAACCGCATGATGGCCTCTTATAATCAATACTGCGAAATCATTGACTTTACAATGTCTCGGCATAAACTAAAACAATATTTTTACTCCATAAGGCATTATAACTCATAAAAAATAGAAAAGCTGACACTGCTTAATTTTTATTAAAGAAAAAATTATACTTTTGTCCAAAGTTGACGAAATAAATTAATAAATTTAAGAAAACAAAACTGTATTCTTATATGTACTAGTCTACGTTGGTTGACGAAATAAATAAATATAAAAAAATATAAAAAATATAATTATGATCTGGCAATAACGGAATAGCATCCTCGGGCGGCCAATCATTCTCAATATTTAATTTGATAAGCTAAATTGGTCTAGATCCTTTTTTTTATTTATAAATTTTCTGTAATCAACCTCACGAATTTTTTGGCAATCTGAAATGAGTCGTCGAAAAAACTGCTTTTGAAATTTTAAAAAATGCATCAAAGTAAATTGTACCAATAATAAACACAGACTGGTTCCGACATCATCCGATGAGACAATTGATATATGGCACTCCATTTTACATTTGCTTTATTGCGCGTTTGAGAATCAGTTTTCTGATGTGATTGTTCCTAATATACCAATCTCAATTAACGATATCACGTTTTTGGAGAGTGGTAAGTGTATATTAGGGTAGTACAAAAAATTTCAGAACTTACCTCTCCAAATTGTTTTACTGAATGAAATAAGTGCTGTCTACAAACAATAATAATCAAGTTAGCTGAGATTTAGAGATGCTGCAAAGACGAAGAAGATGCAAATCGTTACAAACTTCATATTATGCCGTGATAATTTCAATTTTCGAACCTTTCTGAAATGAAGTCAGCCCTAGTACGATGAAGCGTTTCTTGCACTGCTACTTAACAGATTGAATTGATAAGTACGTTGTAACGATACAAGGTACACAATTATCACTACCTTTGCTTGGGGTTCGAGAATATTTTCATGTGTTATCTTTTTGGATTGTTGTGATTAGCGACCACCACGATTGAACATAATCCTTTGCACATCGTATTAAGACTGATAAGAATTATAGTATATAAGCCAAACCTTCAAAATTCGAGGTCAGTTGATTGTGTTTCGAACGGTAGTCAATTTGTGAATAAGCGTTCAGAAAGGTGAAAAATGAAGGTTTTGGCAAGCTTCCTTGCGGTAGCCTTGGCCACTTTGGTATCGGCGCAATTCGATACTCATCAGTGGGCTGATCGAAGCGGCATCGTACATCTATTCGAGTGGAGATGGAATGACATTGCTGACGAATGCGAACGGTTCTTGGCTCCGAAAGGATATGCTGGCGTTCAGGTTTCACCACCAACTGAAAACATTATCGTTTCTGGACGACCATGGTGGGAGCGCTATCAGCCAGCTTCTTACCATCTAAATACTCGTTCCGGCAGTGAGAGCGAATTCGCCAGTATGGTAAGGCGTTGTAATCAGGTCGGAGTAAGGATTTACGTTGATATTGTTATCAATCATATGGCTGCTATGTCTGGACAAGGAACCGGAGGTTCTTCGGTTGATGGATTGAACTTCCCTGCTGTGCCTTTTGGATCAAACGATTTCAACCCACGTTGTGATATTAACAATTACAACGATCGATACCAGGTGCGCAACTGCTGGCTGGTTGGTCTGCCAGATTTGGCTCTTGGAACTCAATGGGTTCGCGATAGAGTCGTTGATTTGATGAACAAGTGTGTCGGCTATGGTGTTGCTGGGTTCCGTGTGGATGCTGTTAAACACATGTGGCCTGGAGATTTGGAACACATTTACAACCGTCTTAACAACCTGAACACGGACCATGGATTCCCAAATGGAGCTAGGCCATTCCTTACTCAAGAAGTCATTGATCTTGGTGGTGAAGCCATTACCAAATACGAATATACGCATCTTGGAACGGTAACTGAATTCCGTTACTCGGCCGAAATTGGACGTATGTTCCGTGGATACAGCAGTCTGGCTTATCTTTCCAACTGGGGAGAAGAGTGGGGATTCTTGCCATCACACTTGGGATTGGCATTTGTTGACAACCATGACAACCAGCGTGGTCATGGAGCTGGTGGTGATAATGTACTCACCCACAAAGTACCCAAGAACTACAAAATGGCTACTGCTTTCATGTTGGCTCACCCGTACGGCATTATTCGTATTATGAGCTCGTTCTTCTTTAATAATGGTGACCAAGGACCACCACAGGACGGAAATGGAAATTTGATTCCTCCATCAATCAATGCTGATAACAGCTGTGGAAACGGATGGGCTTGCGAACATCGTTGGCGTCAGATCTACAATATGGTTGGCTTCCGCAACGCTGTCCGAGGTACTGGTTTGAATGATTGGTGGTCCAACGGTAACCAGCAGATTGCATTCTGCCGTGGTGGAAGTGGATTCATTGCATTCAACTTGGAGGGTTACGATATGAATGAGAATCTGCAGACTTGCCTTCCGGCTGGTACTTACTGTGATGTCATTTCGGGAAGCAAGGAAGGTGGAAGCTGCACTGGTGCCACCGTTCAAGTAGGTGGTGATGGGCGTGCCAGCATACATATTCCAGCCCAGGGCGATGATGGTGTTTTGGCCATTCATGTCAACGCAAAGTTATAAATTGATGCGCAGTTATTTGTATTGAGTAAATGAATTAGAAAATCAAGTTTTTAAATGGCTTACTAGAGAGAAATTCCAATGCATTGTCTGGCCATAAACGTGAGAAAACATATTTGTATTCGTGAATCAAAGTTAGCCCCCAACGAGAATAGAAGAACTATGAAACTGGGTATAGTTTCAAGATTTTGCACGTTGGAGATATACGAGTGAAAGTTTAGAATGCGATTAGGGTAGGGAACGGCTTAATCAGGGGGCGACTTTTTTCGTACGTTGAAGGAAAATGGGTCTAAAACTTCTACATATTGCTCGTTATCATAAATGTTCATGTTGGGAAGACACACTTAGGCTATCAGGTCGTTTTTTTTTTATTGCATGTAATATGCTTGAACACAAGTTATTCACTGTAATTTGAAGATTAAAAAAAAATCATCCAAGGGAGCATCCATTGAGTACGTCACGTTCTAACTGGGGAGGGGCGTTTACAAATATGTAACACGCAATGCAATAGCTACATCTAGCCGGGAAATGTAATATTCTATTACAGATTTGCATGATAAGTATGCAGAATTTGCAATGTTGCGCGCCATGAACATATTGTGTAATGTGGCTCCCAATGCAGCAGCTGGCACGTAGTAAAGAGTATGAAGGACTGAAACTGCAACTGCCAGCGATCAAGTGCAAAGCACTTCTCGTCAATCGCCATCTTCAAGAGATCGATTTCCTTCCCTATTACCAGCCTTTTCTCGTCCAAAATATTCCTCCCCTAAAGATCTTTTCTGCCTAAAACTCCTTTCTCAGCAATTTTTCTTGTATCCACCACATCCAACAAAACCCTACCAGCGATTAAATTCACCGTTTCTATCTGGAGCAAACCGAGATACCAAAAGTGGAATGAAACCATCCAGGCCTGAACTGGAAGAAGATATGGGCAAACATCTCATCAAGAAGACTCTCATTGAGCTAGCGCAGCGATCTCTATCTGTAAGTGAACGAAAAATCAGAGCACCGCAGCACTCGTATCAACCGTGCAAACTTTTTTTTTAATTTTATTTTAGTGATTTTTAGCCGTGCAAACGACTCGAATTGTCAGCACTGCATGGTGGTCATCGAACCTTTGCAAAACAAGTTCAGTGAATGCCCCAGAGTAACCGAAGAATGACGATGACTCTCGGCGTGTGGCGAAGGCCTACCTTCAAAGACTTGACTAGCCTATTGGTCCCACGCAAATCGATTAACGTAGCCCATTCTAATCGAAATTCTAGTACTATACAATGTTTGTTTTGATTTGCCATGAAAGTTTGACAGATAAAACGAGGGGTTTGTGGATTTTCCTATGTTTCGAGGGATTAGATTAGATTGGGACCGAAAACATTTTGCGCACTTACAATCAAAATCCAGAGGCGTCCCACCGATGGATCGCTAAAAACCTTGGAATTGATAATACAACTGTGTCTCGTGTGATAAGATCTTTCAAGGAGCGTCTTAGTGCCCGAAGGAAGGAAGTGAGTGGTCGTAAAAGGGGTCTAATGGACAGTAAAATTTCTAGGAAAGTGGTGCAACAGTTCAAGAACCGTCCAAACATGTTAATTCGAGGTTTAGCTAAAAAGTCCAAGGTGTCAGTCGGTTTTGTGCAGAAAATCATGAAGCATGCTGGGTTACATGTTTACATGGTGCAAAAAGCCCCAAACAGGAATGAAAAGCAAAACATCGGAAACTTTACACGAAGTTGCTCGCCAAATCGTGTTGCATCGTGATGGATGACGAAACATACGCCAAGGCCGACTTCCGTCAACTTTCTGGGCATGAGTATTTCGTTGCCAAGAAGAAAATATCGAAATTTGCAAAGAAGTACCTGATCTGGGCAGCCTAAGGCTAAAAATCTCTTAAATAAAGAATTAAAAAAAAAAAAACCTGATCTGGGAGGCGATTTGCGGATGTGGTGATATTAGCGCTCCCTTCATCACTTCCGGTACAATCAACGGTACGATTTACATGGAAGAGTGCCTTAAGAATCGTCTCTTGTCATTAACAAGGAAGCCCAAAAGATTAACTCTGTTTTGGCCTGATCTAGTGTTAGAGTGGTACCTAGCCAACGGAGTAAATTTTGTGTCAAAAGATATGAATCCACCAAATTCACCGGAACTTCGCCCAATTGAAAAATTCTGGACAATCATGACGACGGAACTTCGCAAACATCCCAAAACGATTAAAACAGAGCTGAGTTCAACTTAAGAATAATTACATTTTTTATCTGTTTGAATGTGTTGTTTATTAAAACTAAATAAACAATATTTTTACACAAAAAAGATCTCTTTTATAGTTAGGGTCTGTATCCATATTAATCTGGACACCTTCAAATCACTGTATATTTTTAAATATTGCAAGTAGGAGTGAAACATTTCCGTGTGAGGTATAGCTGGAAGTCTTTGATTAAAAAGATTATGATTAGTGTTTACATTCCATGTTTAGTGTTCAAGATGGCGATCTGATGCAAAATTTGAAATTTTCGCTCCACTGTGCTTAAACGGTTCTAAATTGGGTTCAGCTTATCCTCCCAAAATTTGAACTACTTTAGTAAGAAACTGACTTGGCAAAAACCATTTCATGTTTATATGGGAATTACTATGGGAAAACTTATGTTTTTGTTCATATCTATCTTACAATTCACCACATCAATATGATTTTAAAAATTATAACAGTGATTGTAGCGAATTTTCTCAGCTACAACTTTGTTGAAAACCACTTTTCAATCAAATGCAACGAACAAAAGTTATTAATGATTCAAGTCGCTGGTGTCTTATGATTAAGAAGCTCATCAACAGCAGCTGTAGACCCGAGGATTAGCTACCAACAAAGAAATCAGTACACCCAAGATGGCACGGGATCGAAACCTAGCAATTATGCAGATAAAAAAAAAAATCCCAAAAATATCAGTACCGTGTATTGTTATTTTGATCTGACAAGAGAAATCGATATTTTGATCTGGCAACACGAATCGATATTTTTACATGGGAGCGGTTCCATATCATTAAAGCAACGAGTAATTTTTATCTTTTTTGATTTGCATGAAACCTTGCATACAAGTTTTTGGGGAAGAAAAACGCCGTTTTGCATACTTGGTTCGCCATTTTGAATCTAGCCTTAATTATGAGAAGGGCCTATGAAAAATGCACATGATATCTTCAAAAAATTGTATCTCGGAAACGGTTTGTCCGATTGGTTTGGTGTCTTGGGCGAAGTTTTAGACAATTGTTGGTGTTATATGGAGAAAATATGCACGGTAAAAAAAAGTTTGGTATTTGTGTTTTGAACTAAAATATAAATTTTCCCTTTAAAGTGACATGTCAATAATTTTTTTATTATCCTTATGTTATAGCTGACTGAAAATGCTATCTAGTGCACAGTAGGTTGTTGTGGAGAAAAATAGGTTACGATGAAAAAAATTGTTTTTTAAAAAAATACAATTTTCAAAAAAGCTATTAAGAAAAGTCAAAAAAGTTTGTCATCCTAATTTTATGAAAGTACATCAAATTTGCAAACAAAAAGTACTTTGGTAACATTTTTCTAAGATGCACCGTTTAGAAGATATTACTGATTTAATATTGTTTTTTTTTTATAACTTAATAAGTTTTGGCCCTTTTCGGATGTACTCCGTGTTTTTCCAGTTTCAAAAGTATTTTTTTTCGGAAAGATTGGAAAATTTGGAGTTAAAATGACACTGACAGCTTAAAGATTCGAGTGAAATTCTCTGCCTTAAAAGTATTTTGAAAAACAAGTTACAAAATCCCACTATCAGGAACAATGATTTCTTCAAGTGATTTTTGGTGCGTTGTGCTGAAAATGTGCATTCAACTCTTGCATATCGCCTAACAGTTTAATCCATTGAAACTGGATGTGTTTATACTGTGCATATTTTCTCTCTATTGCCGAACATCGCCACAGACATCAAACCGATGAGACAACTCGATTTCGAGATACACCTTTTTGAGAACTGCAAATGTAAGCTCCTCAATTAGCAAGATTCGAAAGAGCGAATTAAGCTTATTTTTCAGGGATGGTGATTGTTTATCAGTTTATTTTTATTCCTGTATTTTTATAAAATTATTGTTTACACAACTTTCCTAACAATATTGAATATTTTGGCATCATTGTCAGGACAGTTTGAATAAAGCTTTGCCTTTATTGTATTTTCTGATAGAGGAAGAAATGAGTGGAATTTTAGAGTTCCTTGAATTGTTTTTGCATTATTATATTGATTATTTAGCTGCAAAGACATATTTTCGTATTCTTCTGTACTAATATATTCTACTAGAATAACAAAATGACAACTTTGTAAGTTCTTCTTCTTTTCGTTTGTTTGCCCAATTAAACAACTCTCTTGCAGTCTTTATCTGCAGCTAATCTCTTATTTCCTGTCTTTACGCTAACAAAATCTCTTTGGCCTGGCATTGCACGGCTTATATCATCGTCCTCAAAAAAATTCAAAACCAGTTCTTTTGTTTCATTACTCAAAGCTTTTCCAGAGCTTGAACCTTGAGATGAATCAAATGCATTATCTCTTTCCTTTCTTGCATCTGATGCCATATTTCTACTGGTTTTAAATTCGTCTACAATTTTTTGTACTGACCATGATTTTGGCAACAATGATAAAATTGATAGTTTTTCTTGCCTTGGGGCTGAATTTAAAAATTTAATTTTCATATTTTCTATGACTTCATCAAACTCGTTTGCTTTTTCTGTTTTAGCGTCTAATTTAAAAAGATTTCTTCGTACACCTTCGACGATTTCAGCGCACTTTTTTTCAGGATAGTGAACATTTCTAACCTTACCTAAATCTATAGGCGAAACACGAATAGCTGCTATTCCTCGGTTGAATATTTCGACGTCTACAGGCATGTGAAGTCTTCATTTGATTTAATTGTGTAATCTCTTGACTCTGATGGTATCGTGACCAAACTTTCAACAGTTGGCATCCTTGAGCCGCCGGCTACGCTTTGTTCCTCGT